AAACAAATTTTTTCTTTTTTTTTTCTTTTCTTTCTTTCTTTCTTTTTCTTTTTTTTTTTTTTTCAATCTACTGAGACTCATAGTTTGGCTTTGTGATTTCTTTGCCAGAGAAGGTATTTTTATCCTTCTCTATTAGACAAAGGTATTATTCACTATTCAGTTAGCTTCATTGCTAGCTAGTGGACTACTGAAAATGGACTCCAGTTTTCTTTTAACCTCACTACTTACATCTTGGTAACTAGTTAGTTATGTTTTTGGTCATGTCATTCCTTAGAGTGGATTAATAGTTACATCCTTCAACAATTCCAATTTCCTCTCTAAAACTCATGGACTAACTCCAAAAATAGTGATCTTGTCTCTGGGGAGAAACACAATATCTACACAGTGAACTTATCATGCTATTGAATAGTTTTATACTGACACACAGTACTGATTTCGTTCAATTCATTTATCTATATTTGACTTTTTCCATAATTATCCTGTCAACTTGGGAAAGGTTTTACTTCCATCTTCACAACTCCTAAATACCTCATGGCTAAGGATTGTTCATTCTGTACTTGTCTGATGGTCAACCTGCAGGGATTGTTTTGTACCTCTCCAGAGGACCCACCCTTGTCTTATCCTAGTTCCTTTGGGCAAGACAATCGCCAGGCATTGGCTTCCAGTAGGCCTCCTTGAGAATTTGAGAGCAAAATAGAAAAACAAAGCTTACTTTTGTTTTCAAGTCAGAGACAATTAAGTATTGTTCTTGTCTTTTGCTGACCCTGTTGTAACAGATTAAAAAATGGACTAACGGAGGTGATTAGAGAATGTCCTTGACAGACCAAACAAGATAATATTAAAAAGCACTGAATGAAGAAAAGATTATCTAGCCTATAGTGTTGAGAAAACAGGTTTACTATATGGAAAAGAAAAACTAATCTTGTCCTTTTGTGCCTTTTCTTTAAAAGAAATTATATATGTATCAAATATGTAAATAAAATATAATTTATATGAAAATTTCAGGGCAATATCCCTCTTTCCTAGTTTAGCTACACATCATAATGACACCTATAGTGATTTTGTTTTGTGCCAGGCACTGTGTCACTCTCTATGGGCTTATTTATAACTCATAGAAGCCATATAGTAGATGCTGTTACTCAGTACTACAGCTTATCAGTGGCAATTCTAGTGTTACAGGTCACTTCAGTTCAAAAGTTTCATCTGCTTGCTGCTGATCAAATGACAGGAAACCATAAACATATTTGGATTATAAAGCAAAAGAATTTATTCAAAGCTAGCTGTAAGGAGGTGGAGGTGGAGGGGCCTATTTGTCTTGATGGACATCTCACATGTTAGGGGCTGTTATGGTTTGTGTTCAGATGTTCCTTCATATGGTCATAGGTGGGGCTTTTTCAGAAATGGATGGATTTGGTGTGTGCCACTGGAATTGATTCATGGTACAAAGGTAGAGTTAAAGTCATTAGGATTAAGGGTCTGAGTGCTATCTGTCCTATGTAGCCTGGATAAAGTATAAGGGATAGAAAGAGTTGTGACCATCCCTTGCTTCTTTTGCTACAGTCTTCCTACCAGGAGCTATATTTTCCCTTTGATGCCTGTCTGCTATGCCACCCTGCCTTGGAGCAAGCCAATGATGAAGTGAAACCTCTACAAACTGTGAGCTCAGTAGATATTTCTTTCTTTAACTTTGGGTGTCAGATATTTTATCTCAACAAAGAGAAATGTAATTGAGACAAGGGCTTTTGAAACAATAGATGTTTTCAGGGTAGTTCCACCCTTTCCTGAACCCAGAGTGTTTCTTTCTTGTCTAAGGGAATAAATTTGGGCTTGACTCCTGTGCTTAGGATGAGGAGAGGTAAAGGAGTCCCTTAGAGCCTAGGCCTGAGGAAATTTGGAGGCCACTTGACTTTAACAGAAAAAAGAAAAGCAATGTTTAAAGTTCCATTTTTCAGTGCCAGTTACAATAAGGTGAGAGGGTTGTGAAACCATAAACCTTCAATTATCAAAATTAACTGATAAGCAGCGTCATTTTAGACTGAAAGCGCTCATTCCTAAAATGATTAGATATTTTTTAAAGAATTATGCAGGTCAGAAAATATCTCATTAAAAACACCAGCACATGTGTGGAATGTGTGCGTTATGTCTATGGACCTATTTAAAACAAGTCATAGCACAGTAAGGTATTGGACCCAATATTTCCTAACTTTAAATGTAGTATTTAATCTACATTCTAATCACTCTTTCATCTCATCAGGACTCTGTAAGACAGAAAGCAGTTATGCAAATATACATTTTGCAAATGTGCTGGACTTCATATGTAAGAAATCTGGAAAGCTGTCAAAATGAGAATAGCTGCCTTGCTAGTTCCTAAAAAATATGTTTTCCTTTCTGAGAATGAAATCCTTCCCCTTTTCTTGAACTATCTAAATAGTTTTGAAGTAGTAACCTGCATAGATATATGCAATATGTACTGTTTGAAAACTCTGACACTTTTTTCCAATTTATCTCTGTCTCAGCAAGTGTGAGCTTAATCCAGGAATCCCAATTCACCTCACAAAGTACTATTAAACAGTAGCTCCTAGGCTTGAAACTTGTCATCAATTTAAAAATCTTTTGATCCGCCTTCAGAAGTTTAGTCATACAAACAGGCATTCTAGGTTTGTGTTTTAACTAGCAGAAGATCTAGCAACACTGATCTTCACTGGCAAGAGGTGAGTAGTCCTAGAGCTCCTGGATGGCATGTAGCCATAGGGCTGAAAAGCAGGAATAAATACATTTTGGAACTACAATCTTCCCTGAAGTGGCATATCACTCCTTTCCTGTTGCCTTAAGGCAGTTATGTAGCATCCAAATATTCTGTAGAATTACTTCTTAGTTTCCATAAAATATAGAGATCCTCATGGAATTTTTTCTTATACAAAAATGCACCTTAAGTATTACAGTTAAATTACCTACATGAAATGCAGAAGCCTGAGCAGGTTAGATTTTGACTCGAAAACTTCTAAAACTTTTTCTTTTCTGGTTCGTGAACATTTCATGGGATCAATTATGTTTTATGTTACTGATCATTAATAAAATATCTTTATCTCAAAATCACTCATAATTTTAGGGTCAGTTTGAATCTAGTAGCAGGATAATTTTTCATGCTCAAACATATTTATCAAGGCATAGTCCAAAGTGTTACAATTAGTAAAAATTAATGCTCAATAGGACCGGTGATTCCTTTTACTACTAACATTAAACCTAATATTATTGTCAAAATATAATTCTCCTAATATAGTTTAATATAGAATTTTAATACACTATCCTAGACATGAAAATTAATTATATTGCTACTTTTAGAATGAAAAGGATTTCACTTAAATATCAAACTGGATAAAAGTGATTTGAAAAAATATAGTTAATTATATGTTACCTTCTTAGGTGAAAATAAATTTACTAAGATAATTATTTTCAGGAGATACAATCAATAGATTTTTCAAAATCATAGATATATTTATTAAATGTTATCAAATTAACAATTATTAAATAATTAAATATTAATTAATTAGTATATCATTACATATTTATTAAATGCATCATTTTGCCACTGGCCAGTTACATATTTGCATAATAAAATGTTCATCCTGAAGTAAAAGAGTTGCCACTTACCACTGTGGGTTCTCAGAGCAGGATGAAGTATTTGTTTCATCTGCTGAAAGAAGGAAGGTGGACAGAGAGAGAAGGTCAAAGACTTACATATGTTCCATCTATTTCCTGTTTAGAGAAATCTGGTTGTACAAGTAAATCCTGGCTAACAATAACTGAATCAGGAGTTGTCATATCAGTGGTGTTGAATTTCATTGCTTGTCATATAAGTGGAATTT